GGTGGGCAGGGGGTGCCCACCCCCTCTGCCTCCCCGCTGCCCCCCACCCTCTCCCCCCAGTGCCCGGCGGGTGGGCGGCCTGGGGGTCCTGGTCCCCCTGCGATGCCGAGTGCGGGGGGGGCGTGCGGAGCCGGACACGGAGCTGCAGCGATCCCCCCCCCAAGAATGGGGGGCAGCCCTGCCTCGGGGGCACCCTCCAGAGCCAGCCCTGCAACCTGCAGCCCTGTGGGGAGCCCCCAGGTATGGGGGGGGGGGGATGGGGTGACCCCCGCCGGGGGGGGGAGAGCGTGCCGGGGTGCAGGGGCCTGGCACTGGGGTGACTGGGGGAGCACCCTGTCCCTGAGCATCCCTGTTTGCCCCCCTCCCTTCCAGCCTGCGACCCCCAGATGGTGTTTGTGGGGGCCGGGGGCTGTGAGGGGAGGCAGGTGCCCCCCTGCCCCCAGACCTGCGGGGACCTCAGCACCAACAGCACCTGCCCGAGCCCCTGCCAGGAGGGTGAGTGATGGGGCTGGGGGGGGCACGGGGAGCGGCTGGGGACATCACGGTGCCAGAATGGGGGGCTGGGGGTGGTGGGGGATGCCGGTGCCCAGCACGGTGGCGGCAGGTGCCGGTGGTGCCGGTGCTGAGGGCACACCACCGGGCAGGTTGCCGGTGCCCGCCGGGGCTGTACCTGCAGGACGGCGGCTGCGTCAATGCCAGCCAGTGCCGGTGCCACCTGCCCCAGGAGCACCGGCTGCCCGGTGAGGTCTTCCTGCGGGGCTGCCGCCGGTGGTGAGCGCCGACACCGCGAACCTGCGCCCCACCTGCACCCCGGTGCTGCCTGCAGGCCAGGCTCACCAGGACCCCCACCGGGGCCTGTGGGGGGTGTCCCTTGCCCGTCCCGTGGCTGAGCCCGGCGCCCGTCCCCAGCGTGTGCCGGGATGGGATGGTGACGTGCGAGGATGTGGCCTGCGCCGTGGACTGCGGCTGGTCTGCCTGGTCACCTTGGACCCGGTGTGATGGCGGCTGCGGCGCGGGGACGCAGGAGAGGTTCAGGTGCGGGGCTGGGGGGGCTCTGCCCCACGGCGATGGGGGTGGCGGTGCCCCGTGGATGGGCAGCCATGCGGCGCCTTCCCGCAGGTCACCCTCCAACCCCGCGGCAGCTGCCGGTGGAGCCCCCTGCGCCGGGGAGGCCCGGGAGGTGCGAGAGTGCCACGAGCCCTGCGGCACCGGTAGGCGCCCACCAAGCCCCACGGCGGCACCGGAGATGGTGGAGGCTGTGCCGGTGCCAGCCCAGGGACCCCCGAGCCCGGTGCCGCGGTGGCCCCTCAAGTGCCACGTGTTGGTCTGTCCCCGGCAGAGCCCGGCACCGGCTGGAGTGCCTGGACGCCCTGGTCCCAGTGCTCCGCTCCCTGTGGCTCCGGCGAGCAGAGGCGGCACCGGGCCTGCACCACCCCGGTGCACGGGGGCCCCGACTGTGCCGGCCCCCACGTCCAGACACGGGACTGCAACACCCAGCCCTGCCAAGGTGGGTGCCCCATGCTGGGCAGTGCCGGTGGTGGCCGATGCCCAGCCCCACTGCCAGGCAGCACCGGTAGCAGACAACACCAAGCCCCACTGCTCATTCTCCTTGCAGCGCGGTGCCCAGGGAACATGGTCTACCAGACGGTGGAGGAGTGCCAGCGCGGCGGGGGGCCCTGCCCGCGGCTCTGCCTGGACCAGGGCATGGGCGTGGAATGTGCCGCGCTCTGCCACAACGGCTGCGCCTGCCCGGCCGGGCTCCTGCTGCAGAACCAGAGCTGCGTGCCGCCTGGCCGCTGCCTCTGCTACCACCACGGCCGCCTCTACCAGCCTGGTGACACTGCCACGCTCGATGCCTGCAACAACTGGTGAGCATGCGGCCGCCGGGGTCCCCATCCGGGGTCCCCCCCACTGACCCCCTCTCTCATGCAGTACCTGCACGGCTGGGACGATGGTGTGTAGCACGGAGCCCTGCCCAGGTACCGGCCGGCAGCGGTGGCACCGGGGTTGGGTGGGGGTCCCGGCATGGCTGTGGTGCCGGGGGGCACACAGTGTGGGGGTGGGGGGACAGGGTGGCACGGGGCAGCACGGGGTGGGGGGTCCCTGGAAGGCAATGCTGCCTTGGCACAGTGCTGTGCCGTGCAGTGCCACGCGGTGCCATGTGGCACAGCATAATGCAATGTGCTGCCCTGGAGAGCGTGGTGCCGTGCGGTGCCATGCAGTGCGGCACAGCACGGTGCCATGTGCTGTGGTGCCATGTGCTGTGGTGTGGGTGATGCGGTGGGGCTGAGCAGATCCCCCTGGGGCCTTTTTCCCAAGGGCTGTGGGTGTCGGGGCTGGCGTCGGCACCGGTGCAGCGCCGGCTAATGCCCCCGCTGCCGGTGAGGCTGAGGCCGCCCCTGCACCAGCCCCCGCACGGCTCCATGTGAGCCGGCGGCGCCCCGTGCCATCCCGCTCTCCCTCCTGTGCCCGCAGAGGTGCTGTGGGGCACGTGGTCACCGTGGGGCCCCTGCAGCGTTTCCTGCGGCGGCGGTGAACGGCTGCGCCGGCGGCAGTGCCACCAGCCGGCGTGCCCGGGGCTGGGCCTGCAGAGCCAGATCTGCAACACCCAGGTGTGCCGGGGTGAGTACCGGCCCCCAGCCCTGCCCCCCAGCCCCGGCGCTGAGCCCCGGTGCTGAGCCCCGGTGCTGGCGCAGAGGCGGGCTGCCCGGCGGGGCGGCTGTACCGCGAGTGCCAGCGGGACGAGGGCTGCCCCTATAGCTGCGCCCACCTGGCCGGCCGGGTGGGCTGCTTCTGGGGGGGCTGCCAGGAGGGCTGCCACTGCCCCCCTGGCACCTACCTGCACCACGGCACCTGCCTCTTGGTGAGTCCCCGGCACCCCACGGTGCGCTCCCCTGCCCCGGACCCCTCTCCGAGGGGTGACCCCTGGGTGCTGCCTTCCCCGGCACTGGGATGGGGGGGGGGGGGCTGGTGCCTGCTCACAGGGTGGCCCCAAAGCTGGGGGGGTCCCAGGGTGGTGGGGGCTCCCCGAGGCAGTGGGTGCTCCTTGGGGTGGTGGGTGCTAGCTGGGACAAGGGGTGCTCCTTGGGATGCTGGGGGATCCCAGGTCCATGGGTACTCTCTGGGGTGGTGGGGGCTCCCCGGGACACTGGGGGCTCCCCGGGGCCACGGGTGCCCCCCAGAGCCGTGGGTTCGAGGCCAGGTGCGGTGCAGGAGTGCCCCTGCGTGCTGACGGCAGAGCTCCTGCGGGAGCTGCAGAACGGCTCTGCCACCCCCCTGGACCCCCCCGGCCCGGGCACCCCTGGGTTCCCCTTCCTCGTGCCGGGCCAGGAGCTGCCCCCGGGCAGCACCATCCATACCACCTGCACCAACTGGTAAGTGCCCAGCACCCGCTGCCCTTCCCCAACCACCATGTGCCCCACTGCCCTTCCCCACAGCCTGGCACCCCACTGACCTTCCCCATCATGCCTCCCCATCACCCAGCACCCCACTGCCCTTCCCCATCACCCCCACTTCCCTTCCCCACCACCCCACTGCCCTTCCCCATCACCCAGCACCCCACTGCCCTTCCCCACCACCCCACCGCCCCCTTCCCCATTGTCCATCACCCAGCCCCTGCCCCATGGCTCCTGCCTGATGGCTGCCCCCCCTGCCCAGCACCTGCCTGCACGGCCGGCTGCACTGCTCGGAGCCAGGATGCCGACGGGACGGGGGGTTCGAGCCCTGGGGTCCCTGGAGCCCCTGCTCTCCCAGCTGCGGGGGGCTGGGACTGATGACCCGCCGGCGGGGCTGCACCAGTCCCCCGCCCGCCAACGGTGGCCGGGACTGTGCCGGCCCCCGCACCGACAGCAAGTACTGCCAGAGCCCTGACTGCCCCGGTGGGTCCCGGCCCCTCTGCCGTGGGTCCCGGTCACAGCCCCAGTGCCAGTCCCTGGGTCATGGCCCATTCCCATCCCCTCTGCCGTGGGTCACAGCCCTGTCCCCATGTCATGCCGTGGGTCCCAGCCCCATCCCTGTCCCCTTTGCCATGGGTCCAAGCCCCATCCCTGTCCCCTTTGCCATGGGTCCAAGCCCCATCTCCATGTCATGCCATGGGTCACAGCTCCATTCCTTCTGCCCTGCTGTGGGTCACCCCCATCCCTGTCCCCTCTGCCCTGCCATGGGTCACAGCCCCCTCCCCATCTCCATCCCCTCTGCCCCATGGGGCCGTGGGTCCCACCACCCCACCCTAGTGGGCCAGATCCTGCCCAGGGGCCGGGGGGTTTAGGGATGTCATGGCATTTGCTTTCGCCCCCCCCAGCAACGACCGTCCCCACGCCGGAGCCTGGCCCCACCACCCCAGGTGAGGGGGGATGCTGCCTCGGGACCCCTGACCCTGGTGGGGGGCTTGGGGATGGGGGGGGTCTCACGCCCCTGGCTGACCCCGCTGATGGGGAGCCTTCGTCCCGGGCCAGGCGCTGAAGAAGAGGAGGGCTTCGGCCCCTGGTCCCCCTGGACCCCCTGCTCCAAGACCTGCACCCACCCGGAGGCTCCGGCCACCAAGAGCCGCAGCCGCTCCTGCAGCCGGGCTGGGGGCTGCGGTGGGGAGAGCGTCCAGCAGCGGGCCTGCAACCTGCCCCACTGCGCAGGTGGGCTATGGGGGGGACCTGTCCCACTGTGCAGGTGGGTTGGGAGGGTCTCTCTGCCCCACTGCTCATGCAGGGGACTGGGGGGGGGGGGTCCCTCTGTCCCCCCTCCCCAAGGCTCTGGGGGCTGCCAGGCGCGGGGGTGCAGGTGCTGGTGGTGCCAGCTCTGGTGTCCCCACAGCCACCCCCCCATGCCCGGGGGAGTCCTGTGCCGGCCAGGATTGCCGGTGGACGCCGTGGGGACCATGGGGTGGCTGCTCCCGCAGCTGTGGCGGGGGGCTGCAGCTCCGCCTGCGCGCCTACACCCCCCCCGGGCTGGGGGGCCACTGGTGCCCCGACATCCTCAGCGCCAACGCCCAGCACCGCTTCTGCAACCTGCAGGCCTGCCAGGG